GTCATCATAAAAATCATGATTACCGAATTTGCTCTACTGAACTTCATATTTAACTTATCTTCCTTATTACCACAGATGTCTATCAATCTCTGCAGATCACCCTTGTTGTCGGCTAAGAGTACTATATCATCTTCATACATCAATGTTGGTAATGACTGTTCAATGTGTTTTCCTTGCGTGGCAAGAGAGAGGCTGACCCCAAGTTGACTCTCCGCTAATGTGGCTTCTAGTTCCTGTAGAGAAAGCATAAATAACAAAGGTGACAAGTGACATTCCTGGCAAAGCCAGTGTTGCATTTCTGTAGGTTCATATACCTGTTTCTCCCATTAAATAACTACCTTGTCACTTTTATAGATATCCGTCAGAAGATTAGTTATTCCATCTTCCACATCTGGTGTGTCCAGTATTTCTCACACGTCCTCTTGAATCACACTATCGTAAGCTCTCCAAGATATCTAGAAATGCCAGCCACAGGAGCATCGGTTCTTTTTCCGCTATTTCAATACACTGCATTAATCAAAACAGATTGTCCTCCAAGCTCCTTTGTTTGCGGAACCTATTTTGTAGATCTCCCAGCACACCCTCACTCTCCACTCATGTCTGTAGCCTTAATTATCTGCATCACCAGCCTATATATAAACGAATAATGTCGCTGTTGTAGGATGGTAGCTGTATATGTCGGCTTTCTCTCCCTTTCCTTCATAGATTATGCTCACCCTGCTTAGATTCCACCCATTGGGGGCTTCACCTTTCATTATTGCTTTGCTCGCTGCTTCTCTTATTGCTTGCTTATACTTTGGTCCTAGTTTCTTTATTAGCATGATTAGAAGCCGTCAGGACCTGTTGATGTGTTATTAGAAACCCTCTTTTCTGCTCTTTTCCACTTTCGTTGTCCCAGTGGCGTACTGCGCTAATTGGTCCATCTTCATCTGGTACGTTGCATGCAGCGCTTTCTTGGTTCCCAAATGTTTCGGTCATCATTGTTTTCATATATTCCATCGTCTCATCCCCTCAAGTCTGACCCCTTAAATTGTAGTTATATACATCTGTTTTATGCTTGTCTTATAAGTCAGACAATTTACATGGTTCGAAAACTTCTCAAGCTGCCTTTCTATCCTCTTTGTTTACTTCCGCTATTCATTAAGCCTCCTTTCTTCTAACGTTTTCACTGACCAGAGCAGACGCTTCCCTTCTGCAGCTCAAAAAGTTATGCCAATTTCTTTGGACATCATCTTCCTGTTCACCCCTCTGTTTAGCATACCCGTGTTCTCTGGGGGCTTCTTCACATCTTACTATGGCTCTCTTGACTTCCTCCTCCCACCAGCTCTTGGTATGGTGTCTTCTTGTTCAGGTTGATTTGACTCGTACCTTAACAAGCTCTAGCTCAAAATATCAAGTTGGATTTTTGTACGGGCAGTCTGTTTTAGTATCCTCGGTGTATGTTTTCTCAATCTCCTGAGTTGCTACTTCTATTTGCGTTTCTGAATAAACATTACCGTGTTGTTGCTCATAATATTTCCTTTTAATTTTCATTTCTCCTCCAAAACTCCGCTTCATACATTTGTGATCCCTACCTAAGCTTGTGTACCAATATTCATCTATGGTCATCGCCCTTAGGCAATCGTACATTGTATGAGACATCATTAGGTAATCTATCATCGACTGCAGCCTTCCCACCTCCCATATTATCAGCTCTTCGCATTTCATGGCGCTCTTGCTAATAAATAAATCATGCCTTTTACACATATCAATTATCGATATGCCTGTTGGGTCAATGTATTTATTTATATCTTCTATGTGTGCATTCATACCTTCAAATATAATTACCTCGCACTCTTCTGCTAGTTCGTCAATGTCATGCTCTATGCACTGCACCATTTCTTGGTTTTCCTTTCTGGCTTTTGCCCCTGCCTACAAGAATACAAAACCCAGAAGCTTCATCTGCCCTGCCACATTCCCTTTCAGCCATAAATGTTCCCTGCACTCCAGCTTGGCCCTTAGCCAGTCTGTACTTTTATGAATCGATGCCCCAATACCGCCCTGTTTCTGTTGCCTTCTGTTCTAATACAATATTCCCGCGCGTAATTCGGAATGTTAGGTGGTTGTTTCATGCCCCTATATGTGTTTCTCTAAACCCATATACCATCAGCTTCCCCTCTATTAGCTGTTCTTCTATCTCTCCCCGTTTCAGCCATTCCTCCTACACTGCATGTTAATATACCCTACGTCTGAAAAGGCTCGGCCCTCGTGGCTACGTCTATCTCGGCCCCGAACTCTACGTGTCTTGGATATTGGTGCCTCTTTGAAATCGTATCTGCCTACACCCCCTTTCAAAGAGTTCCCCTGGTTGTTTTCCTCGTTACTATCTATCTTGGAGCCCGAAGGGCTCGCGTACCCTCTAAATAAGCTGCTACTCATCCTGCAAGTCATCAACCCACCTCATGACCTAGCCTCTAATTGAAGTGAGCTCTGTTTCGTTCAAAACCACTTCACCTATGCACCTCTCTCTTTAATTCAACTGCCTCAACGCCTCTCTCTCTGCTCATCTGCCATATCTCTTTATTTGCGTTGAAACCACTCTTTGCAGGTTGCCGTCACGCACCGCTACCTTTGGTATCATGCACATCACTGCCTGTACCTGAGGGGAGATGGCACGCATGTCATGGAACCCCTTTCGCCAGTGGGGTTGCTCGTCCTGCCGAAGCTTCATTTAATACATCGTTTGCACCACCCGTAAATATTAGGAGGTTTCGTTCATCAGCTTTAGTTGTGAGTTTTGAGCTCGCTTGCCTCATGACTGCTTCCAGCTTACGTCTTCGAAACATTCCTACCGAAACACTCTTGTCAACTCTACCCTCTCTTCAATTCCGTCTGTGCATCGATTTAAATTCGAGTCCCCAGCGAGTATCACGTGCTGTGACTTTTCAGCTAGAGTGTCCCGCACCTAGAGATTACTTGCACCTTTGACGCCAGCTCCTTTGTCTCATTTCACCTCTACTTCGCTGAAGCTCCGTCTTGTGACCATTGAAACGCCTGAACCTGCTTTTTTTTCTAAACTGTTCTCTCTTCTTTCTACGCCGTTCTGGTTGCCAGTGTCCTACTGTGCTCTCCGTCTGCCTCTCCTTTGTTAACCTTCACTAGTGCTTTCTCGGCGGACCTGAGCCTTACTGCCATAGCCTTGTTTGAGTGTCAGTCAGCGCCACCAGTAGCCATGGCGATGAGGGTGGCACACACTTGATGAGCCTGCTTTGACATCACGTAGCACGTGAACTTATTACGAGATGGCAGCTGACCAGCTAGCCAAAACCACCACGCTTGACGTGGTAAGTCTGGTTGATCCCGCCGTTGGCGCTTCACCAGCGCAGTGTGGTTCCCCAAACCATTTCTCTTCTGCGTCAGCGTGCTGTGTTCCGCAAGCAATGGCGGCACTTTATGGTTCTGGATCAACGCAACGAAGCAGAACACAGATTCGACTGATCTACACGCACCTTATCGGTTGATGGGAATGAGTTCCCATAACCAGTTAAAGGGCACTTCCACACAACTCGTTGCACAGCACCAGCTGCCGACGCACCCTTCCGCACTGATGAAGGCCAGCTTCGCCAACAAGTCGACCCTTGGGCAGGGCTTCACCAGCGCGATGCAGTTGTCCAAACCGTTTCTTTTTGCCGCCACATGCTGTGTTCCGCCGGAAATGAAGTTACTGAATGGTTCAGTACTAACGAAAAGGCACAGAACTCCAATGAGACCAATCTACAGATGGAGAAAGGGGGCGCGGGTGAGACGATGCCCGCATGAGGAATCGGCTCGAGCGTTGTGAGCGGTAGAAAGGGCGAAGTGAGAGATAGCTGACAAGTGGCGAGTGCGTGGCAGGCAAGGAAGAGCGTCGTCATGGCGCACTGCTTGGAGGGCGTGAGCTACTTGGCACCGCTCCAACACCTGCGGCAAGGCAAGTGGTGTGGATGAAAGGACAGCGTTACACAGGCTAGTCAAAGAGCTGCTTAGCATCTAAAAAAGAGTAACCCGCATATTGGCACGGGGAGAACTCTTATAAATGCGTCGCACAATGAAGAGAGGAGTTATCTTTTGAATGTTGCGTGATCGGGTATTTTTGATAATGCTTTATTGTTATTTCGTCTTTATTATTCCTAATTATTGAATGAAAAAAAGCGTAGCCTCCAACGCCAAGCGAAAGCCAAGACGCCCTTGACTGAATTTCAAATGCGCGAACCAGTGCCTTCATATACGGGGTGGTCAGTGAGCGGTTCTGCAGTGCGAGCAGTTCGCTTTTTTTTTTTGCTAGAAGACGCTGCTTGAGTCGACCTTGCGAAGCGATACAGGGAGAGGGGAGCGACAGTTTTGTGCGTGTCTTCCTTGGCCGGCACGAGATGCCTGCATGCAGCAGGAGACACAAGACGCTAGCGCACGCGGTTGAGTGTGGACACCGCCGCCGACCCACGACGTGGGACATCGTGCGAATAAGAATCGCTCCGCATTTAAAAAAGAACCGAAGTGCAAAACCTTGCATATGCTTTCACAGCGCGACAAGCAAGAGTGGTTTTAGGCTTATCGTCAGGGTGTTAACTCAACGCTAATTATCAGCCGCAGAGATCAGCTTAAAGTGCGAAAGACAGGGACATTTTTTGTTGTTGTCATACAAATCATTCCAGCTGCAAACCATATAGGTTACATGAACGAGCCATGATATTTACTTTAGGTGCAATCAAACAAACTTGCGCATAACGTAGCATGCTTAGAAGTATTATTGTGTGTGAAGCGTCCAGCATCGCGTACGTGTAACATTGTTCTCAACCGTCTTCTTTATATACCTATATACTATTGTTTTCATTGTGAAGCTTTTTATTTTTACACATTTCTACACCTATACTTCCCAACGAAGAACATTTTTAAGTACGGTCATAAATAAAGGCGTTTGTTGGCTTTTTTTCCCGCTGTATTTCTCGGCTGTTCACTCTTGATGGAAATCAATACTCACTCACCCTTTTCAATGCTGAGTCTAACTCGTGGATGTGACATCTGTCATTGATGGGAACCTAAAAAAGGTACAACAATATCATGAGAAAGCTCTGGCCGGTCTAAATCTCTGTGAATTGGCACTATGCAAAGCAGTGCGCAGCATGCTGTTCATTTAGCATTGCTTGACTCTAAGTCGGGTGTTGTTTGTAGATTCGTGCATTTGTGGGTAACTAGTTCTTTTGAATATAGGCTCAAAGGCGAATATTCTGCAGTGCGATGTCTGCAAGTGTTTTTATGCTGACTAGTTTGCTCATTCTGAAATTTGTAAATGTGCTGGGCTGCACAATATCTCTGTTGAGTGCAGGAAAAAAAAAGCAAGGATGATAAAACACTACACGTAATTCTTTGGGTAAACCGAAAATGTTTTACTTCGGCATGAATAATTATTTTTGTAAATCCTGATTGCACTGCTGCGCAGGCGTTATGGTGTGTCAAGTGACTCAGTCGGCTGCTTTATATACGTGCCTTGCGCTAGATTTTTAGTTGCGATTTCATTGCTTGTGTTGTCTGCCCTTGTCCTCGTCCGATTTTAGAGCTGTTGTTCTTACGAGGAGAAAAGAAAGAGCCCGGTATAAATAAATAAATATATTCAATGAAATAAATGGATAAATAAATAAATAATTATTTGAGCGTTAGAAAGCCTACCTACAGAAGAGGAGGAGAAGAAGAGGTTGAGAAATGGAATAGACACAACATGTACTGCCCTAGTTCGGAGAACGGCTTCGCGCCAAGCCTGTATAATAAGATCAGTTCACATGTTTGCGTGTGAGCCTCCTAGAGCCTCCCTTCAACAAAAATTACCACATTTATTAAAGCATGTATACATTATTTATCCACAAAAAATCTTTAATCTGGCGACATTGTCCTATGTGAGTATAATGATGAGTATGATGACCTCATATGGATGGCGCAAATACCTGCAAGAGGGACGCGCCAAGAACCGGGCGGAAAGATGCCAAAGTAATGAAACTAAAGCCAGTCATAGAAATTGCTGTAGAGATAAAGCTGCGAATATGTGAAAATAATTACTCAGTAAGCGCTCAAGCCATCTGTGTTTCCTGCTAGAAATAACTACGCATTACTGAATAAGAATCTGAATAAATGAAAATAATGAGAATATGGTAATCTTTTTGCTTCTTTGATATTGTTACAAGACTACCTCAGGCTGAAGAAGCAAGACAGACAGCGAGAAAGACGACGTTATTCAAAGATGTGGGCGCGCTCTCGCCTGCGTTGGTGTCTGGGTCTCCCAAAGTTGGTTGCAACAACGTGTTGTATATGGAAGCTCGCCTACCTTCTCTGGTAAATAGATTAAAAGTTCTTAGTGGGCAAGCATTTTTAAAGATATACAGTTCACATCTAAGACGCTCATTTATAGGTTTTCATTCAAGAACCAACTTGATTTTTCGAAACACATTGGTCGCGACTACACACCCCGCAAATAATATTTGCACAAGCGATGTTACAGCAACTGAATGTAAAAATTAATTATGTTGGTCTAATACACAGCCTAAAGTCAATGTTTAGCCTACAATTTGAGGATTTTTTCTCATAACTCTAAACAATTGGCACATAGGTACTTAACTTGACCAGTTAGCAGATTATCTAGCTCATTTAGAAATAAGCAACATCATTGCGACTGATGCAACTGTGTCAAAAGCAAAGGCTGGAGTTGGCATCTTCTCTCCTTCTTTTGGCTGGTGATTTTCGATTCATCTCCCAGATTATACACCTGTATTCATTGCAGAATTATTGGCTATTGTTCTTGCCCTACGCAAATTTCCCTCAAGCGCATCATCAGCAATTATCAATACAGACTTGTTACCACTATGTAATGCACTTTCTTCGGCAGCAAATGCAGAGCTGATGAATATGTTTTCGGCATTTAGTACCAACAAACGTGAAAAAGCTGCATTGGCTACGGGTACTAGGCCACCGCGGATTATATTTGAACAAAATGGCGGACTCTTTTGCAGCAGTATCCCTGAATGGGCCCACCATCCCAGTTTTGCCAGATACGGCTTACGTGACAGCGCCCAGGTTCCGAAGTGCTTGTTTGCGATGGGAAATAGGTAATTTGAATAAATTTAGAGATTTCGAGCATTTAATGTATTGCTGGAATAAACAGTGGCGTCTCTCGCCAGTTAGAGATCACTTATACCAGATTGCGCTGTACAGTTCCACAACTAAATTATTACCTTAACAAAGCCCGACTCAAGGCGTCACCTCAGCGCATTTTCAGCAACGAAATTGAAACAACTGAACATTTCTTTTTATTCTTCCGTGTGTTACTCTTATCAGAGAAAAGGGTTTTTAGTAGCCGCATTACAAAAGCTAGGAATACAAGTAAATTTACCAGTACGTTTATCACTTCGCGGTACTTCATTTGGTTACTACCACAAGGATATATGTTCCCCTGTGTTTGATTACATAAATGCAACTAAAAGATTACCGTGCTAGTGAACCCTAACCTTTCAGATCTTTAGTTTATAATTCCTAGCGATGTCTGTCAGGAACATGATATGGTTTGATCGCTTGCTCAGCAAACATTTTTGTTTATTGGCCGAATTATCTCTAAACTAATTTTTCAGATTGGCTTTGCCTTCGTTTCCATTTCGTTCAAGTATCCTGCTACCTGGTTCTTCGCCCAAACCACTCTGTGGGTGAGCGCCATCCATCTGAGGTCATCAGCATCAGCATCAGCCATTTCGGCTTAGGCTTGGCGTCGTGCGAATATATCTCAACTGTCACCTCGTTTTCCTGTGTGCCCTCCCGTAACATTTCGGTGGAATGTGCGGGGTAGCACATCACGACGGAGCTACGCAGCGGACGCCAAGTTGCCGCTTCTAACATGTCTACCGACAGGGATGCTGCTCCAACAGCCATGCCTCGCGCATCAAGGGCGCCCACCTCACCTGTGGTCATTGTGACCACTCCACCCCGCAATCCTGGCAACTTTTCGGGCACTGTTGGTGAAGAAATCGATGAGTGACTTCGACTGTACGAGCTTGTGAGTGAAAACCACAGGCGCGACCCAACCATCATGCTGGAAAACTTGGTATTTTACTTGAAAGCTACGACCAAGGCAAGGTTGAACAACAACGTGGAAGAGCTCACCAGCTGGGACGTGTGTAAGGCGAAGTTGGGTGAGTTGTTCGGCCAAACTGCCTGTTGCAAGCAGGCCGCTAAGAAATAACTTGGTAACCATGTCCACGCATCCACGGAGTCTTACCTGGTCTATATTCAAGATGTCTTGACCGTCTGCCATAAGGCTGATACCATCATGACCGAAGCCGACAAGGTTACGCACGTACTCAAGGGCATCGCTGATGATGCTTTTAGCCTCCTTGTATTTAAAGGCTGTTCGAAAGTTCAACACGTCGTTAACGAGTGCCGACGCTTTCAAGAGGCTAAAAGCCATTGCGTTGCCCACCACTTCACCCGTACTCCATACCCCGCTGCAACGTCAGCTTGCGAAGACCTTCGTTTTGATAACCAGCCCAATCCACTGCCTGCTTACATTACAAGGGTCCTTCGACGCGAAATCGAAGTCATGTCACCAGCACTCTTGAGAGTACTGACACCGAATGATCGTCAGCCCACAATATCTCTTATACAGAGCGTCGTGCGCGAAGAAATGGCAAACGTGGGCCTTCAGGCGATCTGTTTCGTGCGCCGACCCGATGTCATCCACATGCTCTGAACACTCGTTAGCACTACGGACGTCCTGCTCTACATAACCGAGATCCAAACGCATGGAGGACGCCTGAAGACAGGCCACTTTGCTTCCGGTGCAAACCAGTGGGACACCTTTCACGTCATTGCCGAAGCACGCGGACCTCACCCTCACGCACAAGCCCAAACTTCACGAACTTCGACGTATCAGCCCGCCCTTCTGGCCAAGAACCGCCCCGCCGTGATGACTCAGCTTATTACGACATGACCGCCACACCGATGCCCAGTAATGTCGCTCGCCTACACGGCGACGAAGATTCTCGTGGTCTCCTCCGCCACCCCGTTCCCCATCCCCGTCCTTCGCCCGACGGTTTCCTTCGGAAAAATTACTGGTGCCGCTTTTGGAGGTGTTGCTGCTGCTACGACTTGCCCCACAATTTATCTTTTGACCCTCCCGACCAACCAGAAATTGATTGATGTAAAAGTGGTAAGTTTATCTGTTAAAGTTTTAGTCAACACTGCCGCCCAAATTTCTCTTACGATCTCACATATTCGGCACTGCTTAAAGAAAGTCTCTACTCCAGCACCTCCACGCTGTGCTCGTGTTGCTCACGGTAGTGCAGCTACCGTCGTTGTTGTCTACACAGCACGCGTTACTATAGCCAGCCATCAAACCTCCGTCCTCTTCCCTGTTCTCAACAACTGCACCACTGATGTTATCTTTGGTCTAGACTTTTTGTCCACCTATTCAGCTCTCATTGACTGTTCAGCTAGCACGGTGCAACTTGACCTACCATGTACGACTGATACGCCCAATCCGCCCCAATTTCGTATCTACTCTGCTGAGCATGTCCTTTTGTCACCGCAAACAGTTACCTGCATTGCCGTAACAGCGTCGCCACCTGTACCTGATGAATACTACGTGCTCACGCCCTTTACAACCGTCCTTCTAACTAACAGTGTTTTTTTTCGCACACTATCATTACGTTATGGGAAAACCGTGCTTGCATCCCTTTGCAGAACTTTTCTCTGTGTCCACAAGTGCTTCCGTGAGGAATAGCCCTCGCCACACTGCCACCCTCTGAGGATCGCGTCATTTCTGCTTTGTACCCCAATAATGTGCGTAGCGCCAACTGCACGCAAGCCTGTTCTTCAACAGAGAGTCCATCTTCTAATATGGGAAAAATGATTGCAGTGAACCTTCTGCAATATCAAACTGACACGCTCCATCACGTCCTAGAATCGTACTTGGACGTATTCGACTTCTTTGACCAAGCACTAGGTCAAACCAGCATAGTGCAGCACGCATTGCCACCGGCGGTGCATCTCCAGTACATCGACG